ACCTCCAGTCGTGGTTGTCTAATCTTTTAACTGCAGGCTGCATTGTTACACACCAGGAGAGTGGCAAAGAGAGGAAAATTCTCAAAAAAAAATCAGGTTTGCCACACATCTCTATGTGCTGCATAAGGTCATTGAAGATATTTGAGATGTTGAGCTGTTCAACCATGCTTGGCTGCTTCTAGAATTTCCTAGATCCTTTTCTAAAGAATTTCCTAGATTTCCAAAATTGAATTATCGGGAACAGTTTTGTCGATGCGCCTCTTTAAGTCATGATTTCAGCATGGCCAGAAATGTAGACCAATATTATGGCCACCATGCAAGCATGCGTGATTTAACGCTTATTTAGAAATTCAACATGGCGTCGCGTCTAAGAAATGGGGGGAGATTTATATTTGCTTTTATTTCATCCACAATTGAGAAATCATTCCTGTCCACGTCCAAAATATCATTAAATTTATCGATCTATGAACACTGAAAATTTGAGGGCAACTCGAGATGCCGTAGTATGTCCCCGAGAAAGAATAATTAAACGATTGAAATTGTATAATTAAGTTTATAGTCCGGGCATATTACGTACCTTGGAGCTCCAATTTTTGCTCGTTGTTGGCAGCATCGGCAAATGACCACGTCCAAGATGTTTCTTAAAGACTCTTTCTTTATGCACATCGCATTTTAAAAAATCAAAGAGACGCGTAAATGTGTTCCCCAACGCAGTGAAGTTCATCAACTCCGTACAGTGATTTTTGATCGGCATTATTTTCTTTTAGCTGTTGCTATGATATACAACCGACACTGATCCAGTGAGCTCTATATATGTATATGGAGTGGTAACTGTGCTCATTTGGCTAATGTTCAGGTGAAGCCAAAAAGAAAAGTTAGATAAAAAGCTATCTTCCATGAAAACAATAACTTGGAAAGAAAATCATTCGAAACATACGAGTTTCTAAAACAACTGAAAATATGGCATTTTTAACGTTTCATGCAGGAAGAGCATCTTGAAAAAACTGTACCATGCTAGGACGATTAGAAAAAATAAAGAACTATCAGTGTCTTAAAATTGTGTCAAAATTACAAGGTAAAAAACAAAATTTACTCGAAAGCCAAAGCAAGTTTCAAACGTACTTGTACTTAGAGCGAAAAATTCATCATTGCTCACACTGTAGTGGGAAAATACAGTAGTCAGGTAAGGTAGATGCAGGGAAACAGATTGCTAAATATTATAGCCATCACACTCGGTCAAAACAATGAAAAATACTTGACCGCGCACGTATAGGAGGACTTGGGTGTTCGCCAATAGCTCTTTCAATATCCGCCATCTTTGGCTTCACTTTTAGCAACCAAGTGACTACTCCATATATATACAGAGAAAGCTCACTGCACTGACCAGAATAATGCTACTGAACCCACACACCTCACCTTTTGCCTGCCTGCATTTCTGGCAATATTCAGCCTTTAGAAAAGAAGATACCTTGGTCTGAATCGTTTTGTTTAAGATATTTACGCTAGGCCAACTATTTTCAAAAATACGGCTTCTTGATTTATATCCATCTTGGATTAAAATCAAAAGCCAGTCAAATGTCTGTTTTTTCAATCAAGAAAGGGAGTGTTCTGTTTTTATTACTCTCTGGAAAACATAAATGATTTTTAATGAAATGAGCTTTGATTTATCGAAATTCGCCAGTGTGACTTACAATTTCCTATTACACTTAATTTTGCAGTCATAAAAATTAATCACGTTATTTTTTACATATTCACCATAATTTTGTACCCGATTTCAGCACTTTTGCAAGATTGTAGATTTACAACTTTAGAATTAACTTTGTATTTAAGAAAAATTCAACTGTAACGATGTCTCAAATAAACACAAGAGTATAATATATTTTATGCGTGTTGATAAATACGATTGAAAGGGCGTTTTTATGTATTATAGACATATTGTTGTGAAATATAATTCTACAAAATATAATTCACTGCATGATTTATAATCTCAAAGCTTTCCATCCCTGATTAACCCAAATCTTCATGCAGTACAAAATTATATATATATATATATATATAATATATAGACAGTAATTATACAGAATATATTAGTATGATATATTGTATGGATAATGTTGTACATTCAAATGTATTTATATAAATTTTATGTGCTTGTATAGCTACTCTTTTGTGCGCTATATTTGCTTTAAAGGAAAAAACTATTGAATGACTTAATTTAAAAAATGCAATTTTTTCTGAATACGCATTGTGCAATATTTTTACTGCTTCTAGGCTCATATACACTCTGGTCGACAGCTGTGAAATAGCCATTGTGAGACTTAAAGTATACACAAGGTTCTTATGATTCGTTTTTGCCATGTTCAAATATTTTGTGCAAGACAAATTTTGTTGAGTATTTATCCCCGAGCCGGCGCGAAGCGCCGTGCGAGGGTACTAATTCCGCTGGGAGATTTATTTCACCCGGTTTCGTGACAGAACATAGTGGAATCCAAAGTTGCTCAAATTCTATGTCGTGGACCGTGGACGTTCAATGGTCATGGTACTTGTGCGCATGCGCGAAATGTAAGCGAGTAAAGTACTGGTAATTAGTAACTCGCTGATTGACTAAGATGAACAGTTTGGATTAAAACTAAAACGTCAACTAAAAAATTTTGATGAAATTTTTAAATTTATGTTTTCATATCTATGGAATATACGTATTTTTAATTAAATTAGAAGGAAACTTGAATGTGGTACGGACTTTTTACGGTTTAACAAATAACAAGACCAAATTTTCGAGTTTCGACCGAATTCACAGTGTATAATGAAGTCGGAAGATTTTGCACTTGATGATATTTCATCCGGCACAGGCACAGCTTTAAAGAGTAATTCTTTTGTGTTAAACACAACTTTAATATTTTCAAATGTATTTCACTATAAATCTGAATGTTTTATATGATATACAACATTGTAATTTCATTTATAAACTTGGTTTTCATAATGAAAAAAACCGTGCAAAAACCGGTCGAAGCGTAACATAAAACTTCGGAAGTTGTATGAGACGTCTGATGTTATATTTCATGGTAATTAATAATTAAAACAATTTACTATAACACTGACTATATATGAGTGACTTAACTTCCGCAAAAAGGTAGGAATCTTGTCGTATTTTTGCCATTTTTTCACAAAAATATGAGCGTAAACTTTGATTCTTTAAAAATATACAGCCGTTGCGAGTTGCTATGACTACAGTGTTTCCACATTGAGAAAAGTATTTCCATACTTTTCTCAATTTTTTTTTCTCTCTATACCATGTACCCTCCAAAACCCCCAGCCACATAAATTTTCTAACAATCATGTTACCATCCCTATGCTTAACTGATTTCGTTCAACCGAGGCGAGGGGTTGCTGCATGCATGTATTTCTAGTAAGTTGAGCCGTATTTATCCCCGAGTCGGTACCGTGCGAGGGTACTAATTCCGCTCGGATATTTACACCCACGACACAGATTAACACCCAGATGTCTCACTTCTGACTCAAAAGCGTAAGCGGTTCGTCACTGCGCATCGCTTTCTGCGCACGCTTAGCAAGTGACTAGAGGCTTCCCCCCCCTGAAATATTTCAAAATGGAGTCGAACAACAAACCAATGTTCACTGCAACAAACAAAGAATAATCTTTTCTCCTGTGCTAGAGAAAAGGTCCGTGTGGTTTGGTTTGTGTTTGTAACTTTCGTCGGCTTAACGCCTATTAGAAAATTGAGTTAAGAGTATTCATTTTTAAAATTGTACGTTTGTTAAACCTTTTTCAATTGTCGTAGGGGCGGTAAAGGTCGGAAATAATTTAATATATAAAATGTGGTCGTATAGCGATTAAAGTAAATGCTGATGCCAATGATTGGTATAAGTAATTAACTATAATGCTAGTAAGAGATTTAAGTAAATTTTAAACAGTTCTTTAAACTAGATACCTGGATTACCTAATGTACCTATGTGTATTACTTACTAGTGATTATGAAGAACCTCCCTAGATAAATAAGGAGCAAATTTGTTCTGAAAATATGTGAATAGAAATTTCTTGTGCATCTGATGTCACATGACTTATGTGACATGTGAAACATAATTAAGCTGCAGCCTGCAAGGTCAATAATGAAAAGCAAGTTTTAAATAATTTTCTTTTATATTATGTGATTGTTTACTTTCCTATTGTTACAGAGGTGGAACATTTATTTGCTGAACAAGATAGAGATTTTGCTTTGTGGGCCCTGAAAAGGTTGTCAGAATGGATGCTGAAACTGAAAACACAATCAAAGTTTTCAAATCATGTAAAATATAGGAGTGTAAAAAGTGGACTTTGACACTTGTGTTGACTTTTTATTGTTGATAACTGTTATACCAATTTATTTAGGTTTAAAATATAAAGTGAAATACAGTCAAATACTATTTTGACCCCTCATAGTGTTTATGCAATTCCAACCTGAAAAGGTTACTGCAACTTGACCCTTTCCAAGATTGCTTGAATTTCGGTCCATTCCATAGTTTGTGATGTTTCTAACATCATAGCCCTCTCCTTGACCCCTTCAACTGAGCTATACTGAAAAGTCTTCAAACAGGTCTAACGTCATTGTTATAAATGGTAATGGTACAGAGTACACTGCTTGTCGCGTTCCCATGCCACCATTGACTCGTGGAGTCAATAATGACACGGAGTTCGCACGTGTCAACCACACTCGTACTGTTCAGTATCACAATATGAAGGTCACACTTCGATACATCAATATTTCTTTAATGTTTGTACAAAATGCGGTGAAAGTCTATTAGCCTCTGTAACTTTAAAATCCTCGTAAAGCGTGATGCGTACATTGAACGTTCTCCCCGAAAATGCGTTGCTAAGCAACCAAGCGCTACGATGGCCTGGCGACTAGTTATTAACAAGAATATAAATTATAATATAAAATTAAATGTCATGACTAAACGTCAGCAACTTAACACTCCTCACCCAAGAATTAGTAATTCTTGAATCTTCATAGTCCGTTTGAAGCCGGTAGAAGTAGGACAAGTTCACTGATTGGACGATATACAGTCTTCTTGCAGCCATCTTTGAAGATTGCAACCTTCGCCTTTCTCGCCTCCCCGTCTTCGCTTTTAATGCTCTCGATAACTTTACCCATCGACCAGTCATTACGATGTAGATCTTTGTCTTTCACCAATACTACGTCTCCATCGAATAAATTTCTTTCTCTCTCGTTCCACTTGGGCCTTGTTTGGAGGTTTTGCAAATACTCCCGTTTCCAACGTGACCAAAACTGGTCCGCGAGGTATTGGACCCTTCTCCAACGCTTTCTTGCATACAGATCCTCTCTTACAAATATCCCTGGCGGAGGAAGAAGCGGTTTCTGCTTCATAGTAAGGAGCATCGACGGTGATAGGGGAAGTGGGTCGTCAATATCAGCTGAAACGGTGGCGATTGGTCGGTTGTTCACGATAGCTGTAACTTCTGCCATTAACGTAAGGAGTAACTCGTCGTCGAATTGAGCTGCTCCGATCTTTAGCAACATGGCGTTTAACACTCTGCGTATCGTACCTATCTGCCGCTCCCACACACCGCCGAAGTGAGAGGCGTGTGGAGGATTAAACTTCCATTCGCACCCTTGATCTACAACGTACTTCTCGATTCGTCCTGCATCCATTTCTTTCAGTGCGCCATCAAGCTCGGATTTTGCCCCGACGAAATTCGTACCGCAGTCGCATCTTAAAATGGTTGCTGGACCGCGAATGGCGAAGAAACGGCGTAATGCGCATATGAAGGAATTCGTGTCCATTGAATGAAGTATCTCGATATGTATTCCTCTGCTACAGAGACAGGTAAACACCAGGCCCCATCGTTTGGCACTCGCAGCTCTTCCTCTTAGTTTCTTGACTTGAATCTGCCATGGACCAAAAACGTCCAACCCAACGTTGGTAAACGGTGGGTGGGCTTCCACTCGATCAACAGGTAAGTCCGCCATGTGCTGCGTGAGCGTTCGCCCTCTAAGCTTTTTACAAGTTACACAGGCGTTAATCATTCTTGCTACTTCTTTGTTACCATTGATCACCCAGTAACCAGCTTGTCGCACTGCCCCATGCGTAATTTGTCGTCCTTGATGGTGAGTGACCTTCTCATGGTAATGACGGAGTAAGAGCTGTGTGACGTGATGTTTCTTCGGCAGGAGGACCGGATGTTTCTCTTCAAACGTAAGACTTGATCTATTGAGGCGTCCGCCGACCCGAAGGATACCTTTCTGGTCTAAGAAGGGATCTAATCCAGCGAGATTAGACCTACGAAGTGTCCTTCGTCTCTCCTTTAGTTGATCACGACTTTCGATATCGTTGTTGTCTTCTCTCTTTAACACCTTGATGTCATCTGCAAAGGCTTCGTTCTGTACCGCTTTTATAATTGCTATCTTCGAGCTTTCGCCACAATCTCTTGACGTTACATGTTGATTATCGTTCTCGACGCTTCGACCGTTGCTGAGGCTTCGTGTTTCCTTGCTTGCTTTCCAATTCTTCATCTTAGTAATTAATACGGCCACTGCCCGTTGGAGTTTAAGCCAGTCCGAGAAACGCTCGAACCGCTCTGTCTTAAGCCTCTCTCCGGCGTTGAGCTTGCATGCAGAATACACACTTACTCTGACCTCGGGATCATTCTCATCGATAGTTATGTCATCTATCCTGTTCGGTGCCGCCTCATCATTAAGTGGCGGGTTCGATAGCATCGTTCTCAAGAATGAGGGACCTTTGAGCCAATCGGATTCTACCAATCCCTTAGCTGTTGCGCCACGGGTAGCCAAATCAGCCGGATTCGTAGACGTATCGACATAGTTCCATTGTTGTGGCTCTGATACGTCCCTGATCGACTGGACTCGATTGGCGACATATACATGGAATCTGCGGGCATTGTTGTTGATATACCCTAAGACGACCTTTGAGTCCGTGTAGAACTTAACATCGTCTATCTTCAAATCGAGTTCCTTACGCAACCTCGTTACGGCTTTTGTAGACAGGACAGCTGCACACAACTCGAGTCGAGGGATGCTAGTCTGTTGGATGGGTGCTACTTTCGCTTGCCCGAACACCAGGCTAACGCTTGCCTCGCCTTTCTGGTTGAATTGCTTCAGATACGCTGCCACTCCAACCGCCTCCTTGCTCGCATCGGAGAATGCATGAACCTCGTTACGTACTACAGAACCAAAGTTCTTAGGATGGTAGCATCTATCGGCAGACACGTTTTGTAAGCAAGTAAGCTGCTTCTTCCAGCAGTGCCATCGGTGGTTCAAATCAGAAGGGAGGGGGTCGTCCCATTTAAGAGGCTGGTCGTTCGTTTTTCCTCTTCCCAGAATAAGCAACCTTTGCAGTAAAAGCTTGCCGACGAGTGTGACCGGAGCCACCAATCCTAGGGGATCGTACAGCGAGTTTCGATGGACAATACTCCTCTGCGTGTTAGTGGTTTTTCGGGAATTGAGACATTAAATGTCAGTTGATCCTTTTCTAAATTGGACTCCAAGGGCACGTTGTGTCGGTAGAGCATCTTGACGAAGATCAAGGTCTTTAATTCTTTCGCACGGTCCTTTGGAGGAAGCTTCATCCATCACCGCCGTTGAGTTCGAGGCTACTTTGTGGAGATGTAAGTTTGCTGTTTTCAGACACGATTGCGCTTGCTGTACCAAGTTAACTACTTATTTTCTGTCGGTAAAGACTTCAATCCGTCATCTACGTAAAAATCTTTACAAATGAACTCCTTGACCTCTGATCCATAGACCTCCTCACCTTCTTCCGCTGTCTTTCTCATTCCAAATGTGGCTATCGCCGGGCTAGGACCATTACCAAAAAGATGAACGGTCATCCGGTAGTCTACTATCTCTGTCTGGGATCGTTATTCTTGAACCATAGAAACCGAAGAAAGTTTCTGTGTTCCGGGTTGACATGAAGGAGTAGAACATTTGTTCTACGTCGCAAATAACTCCGTGATTCTCTTGACGGAAACGCATTAGACGCCAATTAGGTTGTTCATTAGATCTGGTCCTGCTAGCAATTCGTTGTTGAGTGAGACGCCCCGAAATTCGCACGAGGAATCAAACACTACGCGAATCTGTCCCGGTTTTTTCGGGTGATAGACTCCGAAGTGGGGAATGTACCATACGTTGGAAGGACTGCGTTTTTGTTGTAACCCGTCAGGTGCTTCGGTTAATTCTTCGTCGGGCACAACTTCAGCGTGACCATGGTCAATTACCTTTGACATGAACTTCGTGTAATCTTCCTGCATCTGAGGTTTCCGTTTGAATGATCTTAGCAACCCATTTAGACGATTTAACGCTTGTGATCTATTGTCAGGCATAACCACGTCCTCAGAACGAAAAGGGAGTGGCATTTCCCAGTTACCGGAATCGTTCTTATGGATCCCTTCCATAATTTCAGAAACTGGCGGTCTTCTCGAGATAGGGCGACTTCGTTGTCTGAGAAGTGGTGCGATAAACTTCGTCCTGACTTTCTTTCTCCGTAACTCATCTCTTTCTCTTTCACTTTGAAATAATTTGTACATGGAGCCGTCTTGACTGGAATGTTATTGCTCGTATCCGTTGAACTTACTTGGTCCGTTTGTACATCCTCTATGGCTGTGCAACGTGCAGATACATGTACGGGTCCATCCACGCGGTTGAGACACATCTGGCCAGAAATTGTCCAACCCAGTAGTAACTTCTGAGCCCAAGGGGCTCCTTTTGGGCCATTTCTAAATTCGCGGACTTTCAACAGCTCCGGTGCATCTCTACCCAGGAGGATTTCGATGTTTGCATCTTCATCAAGTGGTGGGATTTCACTTGCAATATCATGGAGATGAGGGAAATACTTTGTCATGGAAGGTGTCGCTATCTCGTTCTTTTCTTGTGGGATATGATCACACTCTAACAGCTTAGGTAACGTAGCGACCGTCCCGTCTAAAGACTTTACCATTATTCCGTACGCCCTTCGACCATATTTTGTTTCTTTGGAGCTGCTGCAAGTGGAAAGAAGGTACTTTTCTCTGGGGGTATCAATTTCGAGTAGATCGGCCAGATTGGGTGTGATCATAGAGGTATTGCTCTGTTCATCGACGATTGCATATACTCTGTGCACCACACTTGGATCTTCCTCAGTGAAGACGTCGACCAACACGATTTTACTACATGACATTCCTCCAGTGTTTCCTCGACAAACAGAAGTGCACTTCGACTTGACTTCCTCTTGTTCCTCTTTATCTTCTTTATCCTTAGACTCTCTCTCCTTGTGCAATATAACCAGATGGCGTGTGCTGCTGCACTTGGTACATTTCACTTCCCTTTTGCAATCCTTAGCCCGATGTTTTCCCGAGAGACACCGGAAACATAAACCGACAGACTTCAGCCATTCCATTCTCTCTTCAAAACTCTTCGCGACAAAGGCTTTGCAGTCGATTAGCTCGTGTCCTTGTCGGTCATGATAGAAACAGTGTTTCCCACGTTTTGCTTCATCATTCTCATCACCATCTCTCTTATTGGTTTTTAAGACCTTGGGATTGCGGCTACCATTTGCCTGTTTGTCGCTTTTGATTGTATGGTCGAAACCCGCTTCACCAGCTGAAACATTAGGGTGGTTTTTTAGTTTCGCTTGCTTCTGAATCATTACTGTAAATTTGTGAAAACTAGGATATTCATCGTTATTTTCTTCTGCGTGATCGACTACCTTTTTCTCCCATTTGAATCGTAGAAAGTTTGGGAGACTGTCAACAATTGGTCGTATTGCGCTTGCATAATTCAAGCAGGCAAGTCCTGGTAGATTGTTGATTTGATTGTCTACGTCCATGCACACGTCGGCGAATTCTTGCAACTTTACTTTATCCCGTGCATTGAATCTTGCTGCTTGCTGCAACCGTTGCAACAGTGAGTTCGTTATGATGGCGGTATTGCCAAAACGCCTTCCCATTTCGGCCCATAGTTCACCAAGGGTACTCGTGGGATCACTTTGTTGCCTTTTCCGGAAGTTGTCCACCAACTCTCGAACTTTCCCTTTGGTATAATTTCTGAGATATGCCATCTCTTGGTTGGGATTTAAATTTGCATCTTCAATCATAGCCTTGAACGATTTTTTCCATGGATGAAATAGAGTTGCATCTCCTTCGAATGCTTCTGGATGGCATTTCGGAAGATTCTGCCTTGCTAGGCTTGCGACTACGCGCTCGTTCGTTCTCGCTATTCCCTCAATGCATCCCTGAAATATGGCTGGACCAGCGACAGGAGATGTGGGTGTAAAAATAGGTGGGTTTCCTGCAAATCCTTTAGGGGTAAACACACTCTTTGCTCCTCTGTTTTTAGTAGTTTCATTGCTGTTCCCTGCTTCTCCTCCCTCGGTACCTTGGCTTGTCACTGGTGGTACTTCAGTTGTAGTCTTGATTGTATCGAGTTCGGGTTGGGAGGCACGGTCGTCGTTGGAATGTGGTAAATTGGACTCGTGTTTGGGCTCACTATGAGTGTCGACCCACACCTTTGTGCGAGATTCTGAATCTTCTTCTTCGAGGTACTCTTTCTGGGTTAACAGGTAAGGTGATTCTTCCTTTAAAATGGACTCTTCTACAGCATGAAGCTTAGCATTTGCAATAGCTTCGGCTTTCTCGGCAGCTAGAATAGCCATCTCTATATCATGTTGGGCACGCCTTTGCTTCAGGCGGAGCTCCTCTTCAGCTTCAAATAATTTCCTCTCGTTTTCTCTCGCTGCCATGACTCTATCGAATTCGGCTTTTTTCTTTGCAGCTGCAGCTTCTACCATAGCCTTTCTCCTGGCACTAGAGGATGATGATGAACTTGCTCGTGACGAAACACTGCGCCTAGTACCTCTTGAACATAGAGAAGAGGCAACCTCTGGGGGCTTTGCTCTATCTGTTGCATCATTAATGGCTTTCAGTGCGCAGTCCAAAAGTTCTTTACCATAGGTCAGATATTCATGTGCTTGCTCTGATAGTTCTCCCCATTTGTCTTTCTCTAACAATTTATTTAGTTCTTTCAACAATTCCTTGTACTTCATGTAAGATGATTTTGTACTTGATAAATATATGTCAAAATCCTTGGGTAGGGGCCCTAGTGACAAAGCCGTGTTCACAGATTCTGATGCTGCTTTTAAGAGCTTCCCTTCTTTATTGAGTTCTGTTAAACTAGACTGTATAGCATTTTGTATAGCCTTTTGTGATAATGTACGACTTCTTCGGTTGTCCCCATTTAGTTCTCCAATGTCAGCTAGCAAGGCTTCATGAACCTCACCCCCCATACTATGAACTGACCCCCCGGAATGTAATGTTGGCTTCCCTTTGGCGCTGTTAGGCTGTTCATGCTCCTCAAATTGTCCATGATCCCTGGTTTGTATTACTTCTCCAGGTTCTTCCCCAGGCTCCTCGTTCTCACGACTCTTCGTGCTCATTCTCGACGCATGTCATGCAATATTTCGAGTTTCGACAGAAAATTACTTACGATGACTCCATAGTCCATATGCCATTAATGAACCCCATAATAAAGACTAGACTTTCACTGTCGCGTTCCCATGCCACCATTGACTCGTGGAGTCAATAATGACACGGAGTTCGCACGTGTCAACCACACTCGTACTGTTCAGTATCACAATATGAAGGTCACACTTCGATACATCAATATTTCTTTAATGTTTGTACAAAATGCGGTGAAAGTCTATTAGCCTCTGTAACTTTAAAATCCTCGTAAAGCGTGATGCGTACATTGAACGTTCTCCCCGAAAATGCGTTGCTAAGCAACCAAGCGCTACGATGGCCTGGCGACTAGTTATTAACAAGAATATAAATTATAATATAAAATTAAATGTCATGACTAAACGTCAGCAACTTAACACTGCTCATGGGGTGGAGTGACCAAGGACTGGTTCAATTAAATTGCATTAAATTGCAAAATCTGCAATTCTGATTAGCTAATTCTGCCAGTAACATGTTATGAATTCATGTGCTGTTTGACAATGTTTGTAAGTACTGTAGCCACAGCACTTGAACTAAAAAATTCTGGCAAATTTGTGAAACAAAAAAACAGTAGTCAGATAAGATTCAAAGAAAATACAAAGGGGAAACAAACTCCTAAAGATATGTTTTAAGGCATATCTGGAGTTGCACTTCCATTTGGTAATCATTATATAGTGAGGTAAGAGTTTAGTTGAAAAGTAGAGTGACATGTTTCTTTAAGGACAGGTCCATCATAACATTGGAGGACTCTATGATTTCAAAACTGCTCAACTTTTGCATGTTTTGATTCAAAGAAATATAAATCTGTTTTGGTTTATATTTGAATAAAAATAAACCCTTTTTTAGAAATATAGTGAACTGAAATAGTAATAAATACTCTGACAGGACAGTGAGAAGGACAGGATATCTTAAAAGAAAAGATATAGCAATTCAAAATGTAAACAATAGCGTTTGTTTACATTGCATGTTTACCAACATTTAAGTACTAATTATTTAATATGATAATGGTCAAAGGATAATGTGCCTAGGGCTTCACAGGGTTTGTGTCTATGTTTTGTATTGACCAAATAAATCATTTACTATTTTTATGCATAGTATTAATATCTTTATAAAAAATTGTTTTAATTAGTAGTTCGATCTTTTTTTTAACGGGATTATATCATTTATTATGGTTTGTAATACGTGAGGTTGTGGTCTTGTGGAATATCTCGAGTTTCTAGAATAATGCTTTCCGAAAAAAACTATTCTCACACACTTTTTAAAAGAACATACTTGAGGTTAAGGTGAAGAATTTTTATATACTTACTCTTTAACACAAAAAATTCAAGGATATATACATGCCAATAATGAATCATACTGAA